AAAATGCACAAAAACGAAGATGGAAATATGTAAACATATATTTTGCGCAGCTTTGTCTCATAATCCCGTAATGTGCCTGTACACAAGATCTCAAAATTACGGTAACTAAAGTGGTGTTTAACGGAGCTAAAATAAAACACCTTTCGTACTTTAAATATTTTCCATGTTTCCGGTTTTTAGGGGTTTATCAAAACTTCTTTGGGAAGCAGACGTTGAACCGGCAGTGATGCATAATAGATTTCTTTCGCCGATTTCAACTGCAGTTCATGTACACAAAACGAATGACGCCTGAAAGTTGGAAAGAGTTTAATGATGAAAAAGAAATAAAGAGAAAGCATTCCAGGCAACTTCTCTTAGTTTATCACTCAAATCTGTCTGCATCCGTGCCTCCTTACACATGTTCCAAAAGAATGCATGTTTTCTCAGGTTTGGAATACTTGATGTTTGGCTCTTATGTGCAAGATATCTCAACGTAACAAAGCCACAGAACATATTTTTTCTTCACGTCGAGAGTTTGTAACGGCGCACCGTTTTGTTCTTGACACCGAAGCCTAATCAGGTTTTGTGAGCGTCAAATGGGCCAGGTTTTAGGACAGACGGAGAACCAGTCAGTAAGCTGTGATTGATTAATCATTTTGTGTGGCACTGGTAGATTTCGATGGTCTTTGTAGGCTTGTGAGTGCTATGGCAATTTGAGGGACGGGATGTGGGGAGAGGTGAGGTTAAATGCAACTCAGATCTAAGCTACTTTTTTAATAACTCCTAGTGATCATAACTGCACACCATCACCTGTCAGCTCGACTGATCGAAAACCTTCGTCCAACCGCCTGCCAGTTCTACGTCAGTATACACTGCGATGCTGAATGATTTCCACTGCCTAGGCTATCAGTCTCTGTGGTTCAAACCAAAGTGTTTAACTTAAAACCTCACTATTTCCCCACCTACTTTGTATCCTGTATCCAGTAAATTTTTTACCGTTGCTGCCATTCAGTAACGCACGAGATGCAGTTGCATTTCTAGACGACCTATTTACTTTTCTCCCGTGCTCTCCAATTTTGTGTGAATTATCCTGGTCGCCCCCCCTGTATAGACCTTAGTAAAGCCGTCGCATTCAGATTTGTGGACTGTTCTCTTCTGTGGTTCCGTTTGACGGGAGGCGATCCTTCAATTTCACCAGCGCAAAGCGTAAAATGTTTCCTCTCTGGAACGCTACTCTTTCGTTAGCGATGTTTAGAACCCTTCGAGTGATTTTTGATGTCCTTGATTCATGTGGAATGACACCAGTCCCAATGCATCCCCTGTTGGAGTTTCTCCACGAGTACCAATATCCTTGGTAATTGATACCCAATCAAACTAGCTCTATATACACTACCCCTAAGTTTGTTCTTCATTTGATTTTTCGCTGCTGTCTGTTCAACCTATTCTATGCATAGATCCCTCATTCGGCTAAAATTTGATGAGACAATATTAGCAAATCTTAAATTCCGATGGGAAAACGAGTGGGTCAGAGTCACCTAAGCTCCGACTGACTTCTCTCGCTTTTTCAGTCTTCCCCTGAGTTTGTGTCATGTAGTCTGAGAAGATAAATGTACCCAAGGTTTGCTTCATCTCTACACTAAAACTGATCCATGGATTCAGGTCAGTGTTATTTCTGTAAAGCGCACCAACCGTGTGTCGTTTAACCATGACGAAAGTGTCATTTGCATAAAGGCAAAATACCTTCGGTGGGCATGGGTGTCCAGCCATCACTTTCTTCTAAAAATATGCTATAAACTGTCTGTTTCATTCCTTATCCATTTCTTCCTCCGTTTTTTTCAACTTTCACCGAAGGATATCTGTGGCTGAAGGACTGTCATCATCTTATCTTGAACAGATGCCTGTTGATAATACTTGAAACCCCCTATTAAGTGGAATTATTGTAAAGTCACCGGTGTTGTAGTAAACGGAAGCTGAAAATACCTATGAGTAATAGACAATAGAAAGGGATTCAAAATTTATTCGTGATAGTGGAGCAACTATTTTTGCTAAACTATAAAGACTAAATTTACCTACACAAAAGTGTGTAGGTAATTAGCCACCTGTTTAGGCACCAGAGTCTGAGCATTCACTTTGTGAACACTCGTCCGTCTGAAAGAATTAAGATTTTGGTTGGTGTAGAATGAACAAATGATTTGCTGAGCAAATTGGATCAGCTGACATCCCATGGGCAACATTTTACCCAAATTTTTCTTCTGTAAATTTGGTACCACAAATTACCGATTTAAACAGGGCTGTCTGATGGTGACTCTTTAGAAAATTCTAAAGGCGTGTGTATCCGACAAAAACATCTGAGGAACTGCATCAGCTGTAACACTCATTATGCGACATTACTTTTTCGTTGGAAGCTGACGTGAGTTGTCATGAGTATGCAAATTTGATTGCACCTAGGTTTGGGCCGTTCTGAATGAGTGGTAGACGAGTCCTAGAAACTCACGGATGTTTATAGGATTTCAGAATGAAGAGGGCGTTTGTATATGTTCACCTTGGTATGTTAAGCAATAATTGCCCCAGCAGAGGAGGTTGCATGTGAGCAACACAAATTTTGTCTGTCAGTTCGTTACGATACCCTGTCACTAGGCACCAGATAGACCAAGAATAGAACTTTTCAGTGAAACGTATACTTTCCTTTAATGCCAATTCACAGAAACCTATCAAAAGTCCTTAATCAGTAAGGCGGTTTCTTCTCGTTGGACGTTTAGTGTTTGACAATTTGAGAGCTATTTTTCAAAGAAAGAGTTCCCTCCAGTGGCTGAATATGCCCGTGGTAGTCATGAGAACGAAGAATGTAGCGAACAAAGCTGGTTTTTAGCGATTGTTCCTCTTGGCTAATACTCACAAATTTATATCTTACCAGACATCACGTGGAAAAGGTTAAGACCGGGGCTACATGCTCGTGCCGAGCATCATACGTTGGTCGTACGACAAGGCATTTGTCGGACGGAATGCGAGAACACAATCCCGTGTCTCTGAGTGGTAGTGGTAAGAAACCAAGCTCAAGCGCGAATGCATCTCATTGAGCCGAAACCAGTCATGTAGTAGACAAGGAGCGAGCCTTCACCATCATATACCGGGTACCCCTGAACCGATCACGACTGGTACAATCCAGGCTACTATCGATCGCAGAGGCGATTGGAATCCGGCTGCTGGATCCGCATTTTGCACCCCAAAGAAACTTGTGCGATCCCTGAACTTGAACTGGCCTACGAAAGATCCGGTCCTACAAGTCTGTCTGACATTGACGTCACTTACCTGATTCCGTGACCCATTGACCTATCCCTCATCCAACCGCCTTCCTTTGATTTCTATTTCTCTAAAGTCTATCTGGCCCCGATCTTAACCTTTTCCACGTGATGTCTGGTACCATGTAAAGTTGTGATGTATTGGCCAGGAAGAACGATCACAGAAAACAAGCTTTGTTCGCTACCTTCCTAGTTCCCTCTAGGTCAGGAAATTTGGGGACACACGAAAACGCACTGTAACACAAAAAGCTAAAAAGTTGGGATAATTATTTACATGGCCTTAGGTTTGCTGAAAGGGCATCACAAATGTCGAAACACTGAGTTGCGAAATATAGATACAATGGCAGAATTAAAAATAATGACAGGAAGTTTGAGTCTGATACAATTCGGATTCCATCCTAAAAATGAAATTTTTTTGCCTTTGAGTGACTTGATTAAATAGGCACTGTCTTATTTCATGTGCTTTAGCTGTCCTTTTTAAATCCACTGAACTGACCTTGATGTCCGGATGGTATTTTACTTAAACCGGTGAACTCAAGAGATTTTCAAGGACACCAGGTTAGGACTGGGAAAGCTCGATGTCTCCACTGTTGTGATGACCACTACAAAGCCACAGGAAGCGATTATACTCTGTCACTTGCCCATAGCTACGAACCCTATCTTTTCCAGCTTCAAATTCCAGTGAAGTAGATCACAAAGACACCGTTGCCTCAGCCGATATCCAACCACAAAATCTCAGGCACCAGGAAAAGAAACCTTGTTACGGGGAGAGTGGGTGATTATTTAAACAAATTGGAATCCTCGTCTAATATGTCGCGAGTGAGCTTTAAAGATTTCGCAGCTATAAGGTCGTTGGCCTGTTCGATGAGCTGGGCTGTTTGATCGCAAACGTTCCGTCACCAACCGAGGTGACATCTTCAGTGCGTTATTGGGAAGCGTAGTGGTGCGTAGCGGTGGGTTAGTGGTTGTGTTTTGAGTAGTGTTACGTGTGTGTTACTATACTGGCTGCTAGCCGGGGATGACCTTTGGTCGCGATTAGTTGTTTGGTCGGGTGGTTCCATTGGTTGCTCCGTTATCCTGTATCCTCATTCACCGACGCTCACTTGACCTTTGGATTTGGTATCCCCTGCCGTCGTAATCTGATCGATGCTGAAGTGACCTTTGTCTTTCCGAGTCCCGGGTTGTGACCTTTATTGATTTGACTCCAAGGAGTTCCTTGTTTCTTTGTTTGCGAATCCAATATTCGGTCCTCCTCTAGTGATCCAGTTGAGATATTGGTCTTTCGCACGTAGAGGTGCGTAAAATGGATCCAGTTCGATGCACCGGTTGATCAAATCTGCCGTGGAGTAACATGCCTCTGGGAATTCTCCTTCGTGTCTTGCGTCTCTGTATATCAAAATTTTTGCGTGTTCCAGATTTAATTTGTGGCCTTCTTGGTCCAAATGTGTGGATATCAAGGACAGGGTAGACATGTCACCTGACAGCCGAGTTGTGTTCCTTTATTCGGTTGCGTAATTTCCTCCCAGTTTGTCGAACGTAGAATTTCTTGCAGCTGTTGCAGTTGATGTTGTATTTCACATTGTTCCTCTTGGTTTTGTCTTGGTTGTTCTTCGGTCTAGAGAATAATTTCCTTAGGGCGACATTCAGTTTGTCGGCCATGAAAATCCCTTTTTGAGCCAATAAACTGGTCGAGTTCTAATATATTCCTGATGTAAGGCGGGACTACCAGTCTGGTGGCTTGTTCGTGCTGTTGCTGTTGCTGAGAGCTCTTCCTGTGCTAGATGATTGCTGTTGTAGTTCAGTATTTGATCCGTACGAGTCTCCTTCCGATATAAACATGTTTCCAGGGTCGCATCTCATCTTTTCTCCACTAAAACGTCCAAAAATGGCGTTCGATTGTTTCTTTTCAGTTCAATTGTAAACTTATTATCTTCAAACAGTGCATGTGCATCGTGTACTGAATCCAGTTTCACGGACATCCACGATGAACTTAATCAGGTGGCGTCTCATAGTCCAATGCCAGTGGTAGCACTGACAGGCAGTTGGTTAATGGATCTTATGGTCTCCTCAGTTGCGCTCAGTATGCCTCGGAGATTACGTATAGAATTTACCTTACAGGAAGGTCTTGGTTTAAACTAGCCACCTCCCTTTCGATGTAGGTTGTCTAAGCTCAAAACATTTCTCAGTTTCTTAGCCTTTCTGCTTCCCTTGAGTGCACGGCGGTTATGTGGTGAAATATCGCCACAGTTAAACGACTAATAATAATTTTTATTTTAACTTTGAACTAGACCCAAGTGTTTCGATTTATTTCGCTGTAATTGGGCAACCAGAGTGACAGAATGGATTCCTGCAGTGATACTCCAAGGGTACAACAAAGCTCTGGTGAATCTAAATCTGGTTCACCCTTGTAGAAGCCCGTTCAGCAGG